TAACCACTAAGAAGAATATATGCAGTGTATTATTTGTTGAAACTGTACTTCCGATTTGATTTGAAACTGTCTCATTGCTATCTGTTTATCAATAAAACTGTAGAAAAAAAAATAAAGTTGTCTCTGCATCCTCTGTTCTGGTTGATTCGTCCACTCATTCGTTATATTTTTGCCAATACCATGCTGTTTTTATCACTGTACCTTTGTATTGTAGTATACTTTGAAGTCTGGTAGTGTGATGCCCTCCTGCCTTGCCTTGTTGCCCAGAATTGCTTTTGCTATTCTAGGTCTCTTCTAGTTTAATATGAATTTTAGGATTTTTTCCTCTAGTATTGTGAGGAATGTTACTGATATTTTGATTGAAATTTTATTATATCTGTATAACAATTTTGGGGGTATGACTATTTTGACAATATCAGTTATTCCTATCTAGGAACAGGAGATAATTTTACATTTTCTGATATCCTGTATGATATCCTTTTTCAGATTATTGTAGTTTTCATTGTGGACATCATTTACTTCCTTGGTTAGTTTAATTCCTAACTACTTCAATTTTCTTGAGGCTATTGTGAAAGATGTTTTCCTATTTCTTTCTCTTAATGAGTTTTTATTGGTATATAATAATTCATCAGTTTTTCAGTTTTGATTTTGCTCTGCTACTTAATTTGGTTATTAATTCTAGGAGTCTTTCAGTGGAGTTTTGGGTGTCTTCTATGTAATGGATCACGTCATCTGCAAATAATAATTTAACTTTTTTCTTTCCTATCGCTTCTCTTATTTCTTTCTCTTGATAATTACTCTGGCTAATGTTTTGAGAACTATATTGAAAAAGAAAGGTGATAACAGACATCCTTGTTTTGGTTCTGATTTTAGAAGGAAAGCCTTCAGCTTCTTTTCATTTTTTATAATCTTGGCTTTTGGTTTTGTCAAGGTGGCTTTTGTCAGACTGAGATAAAAGCCTTCCATTTTTATTTTCTTTGAGGTTTTTTTTTTATCATGGATGTTGGACTCTGTTAAATGCTTTTCTTGATTTTTGTCCTTGGCTTGGTTAATATAGTGTCTTACATTTATTGATTTGCATATGTTGAACCATCCCTGCATTCCTGGGATGAATCCTACTTGTTCATGCTTTATGATCTTTTTGATGACTTGCTACATTCTATTTGCCAGAATCCTATTGAGGATTTTTGCCTCTATATCCATTAAAGAGATTGGA